ACATGATATGCTAATATTTGCAGTATTAAAGGGGTCATATGATGCGATTTCAATTTTTCCTTTCTCTTTGGAGTGTTACAAGCTCTTGGTGCATAAAGAAGATCTGTAAAGTTGCAAACACTAAAGTCTCAAAACCAAAGAGATATTCTTTATAAAAGTTAAGAGTTAACCACACCCTCCTAAAACGGCTCGTTCTAACACGCCCACACATTTCTACCTCACTATGTGGGAAGATTTACATAACGCCGCCCAAATGTTCACGCAAAAAAAGAAGGCGTAACTTCTATCTAGTATTTCATAGATGGGCCTTAGTGCTGTCTAAATAGGTTTCGATATATAGCATACAAATACTACATGATAGCCTACACTAATATTTGCAGTATTTATAGTGGCTGATTGACCTGAAAACCTGTAACGGATACTGTAACTGCATATAGGATATCCAGTGCTTGTATTACAACTTATTATTGAACTACTCAATTCCAAACAGCTGCTTTAATACAGAACAGCGCTGTTAGCTCTGTGCAGTTCAAAGCTGACTAGATATATTACAGCTGTCCTACATTAGCATGGGCCCTTCCCAACTTCATAGACCACAGACAATAAATAGGATGGAAAACTAGCAACCAGAAGATCTTACACCCGGTTATTACACACATGAGAAGGCACACAGCTGAATTCATGCTGACGTAAGACAGGATAGCATAGCTTACTCAGATGCTATACACCAAAGTTGTGTATTCTATAGAAAAGGACTTGTTGAAATATTAGCGTATGGCATCCGTTTGGGCTGTGTGTCATTGCCAAAGGCAATAACTTGTGGAAAAGCTGTTCTAAAGAATGAAGAAACCTCTAATGCACAGCTCATGAAGAACGGATATTGCTAGCTCATTAGGTGCTGAGTTTCATAACCTTCTGAGCAAACAAATGAGCTAATCCAATATAGCAGATGAATTTAATTGGAGCTTTGCTCCTCACAGGGGGATATGTGTGTGGTTTCTATGGGAAAATAAGCAGCGTTTAGTCGAAGGGGAACTCCAAACTCTTTGGTCTTGAGCTGGGTAAATATTTTTCTCTGACTTTTTTCTGGTTTGGATTCATTTAGCCGCTAATTATTGTGAGAAATGTGGGTGAGTGCAGTGACAGGCCCACCGCTCTAAACTGTAAGACCCATGTTCTCGCTAACACATCTGTTTGGAGAGTCTGATGTTCTTTGTAGCTTATTTGAAGCAGTTTGTCTGTGCCATAATCAAAGTACTTTATGAGGTGACTTGTTTGTTGTGGTCTTTCTTTTGTGTATGAACTCTTTTTAGGAAAAACAGGACTTGATTATATCGGTATTTGATTGGATTGTGTGTGGGTGAAACGTGGTAGGCTATGCTAATATTAGAGGCGCTTGTTGAGGCAATTTGAATGAACAATTGCTCATACTTGTGCTAAAGCTCACTGAAGTATCTATAGAAAGTTTGAATCTTGACCAGTATCTGCACTATTTTTGTCTAGAAATGATTAGTGATAAAACTGTATTTCTACTTGTTTAAACTAAAGATGCGTGTATTTCTTAAAGGGACAGTTCACCCAAAAAATGATAATTCTGTCATTAATTACTAGCCCTCTGTTTGTTCCAAACCCGTAAGACCTTTGTTCATCTTCAGAACACAAGAGCACAGAGCTTTCTGACCTTCCATAGACAGCAAGGGAACTGAAATGTTAAAGGCTCAGAAGGTAGTAAGGACAATGTTAAAATAATCCATGTGACAACAGTGCTACTCTCGTGAACACACGTCAAAGACTGACACGGAAGAGAAGAAATTGTTGAATAAAGTTGTTGTTTTCTTTGTGCACAAAAAGTATTCTTCGTAGCTTCATAAAATTGAACCACTGATGTTACATGGACTATTTTAATGATGTTCTTACTACCTTTCTGGGCCTTAGACGTGGTAATCCCATTGCTGTCTATGGAGGGACAGAAAGCTCTCGGATTTCATTGAAAATATCATAATTTGTCTTCCGAATGAAGATGAACGACATGAGGGTGAGCAAATAATGACAGTATTTTAATTTTTGGGTGAACTATCCCTTTAACAACCTCAAACAATTCCTTATCAATTACAGGTGTCTATTTTAGTTGATAGTTTTAGTCTCCAAAAGTTTGTTGTTCTATCTCCTTTTTAGGAGTTTCTTAAGTTTGGACTTATTATTTTTGCCTGGCAAATTGAAAAAAACATACGTTGATAGTCTAGAATCTAGCAACCCCACCTCTTAAAACACTAGCAACATGCTAGCAACCCTAAATTTAATTAGTTTTAATCAGTACTGACTGTACCAAGACAGGGATGTAGTTGTTGTTGTTCCATCTTTTTTAAGGAGTTTCTTGAGTCTAGACTTGACTTGGCCCAGTACACTATAGAAATGTCCTAGCAATCATCCAGAACACCTGAGCATCCACCTAGCATAGTGCTAGCAACACTAAATCTAATTAATATAGTTAATTTAATTCATTCAGTACTGACTGTACCAAAACCGGGAACATTTATTAAGACGTTCAATAGGGCCACTTTTAATTTAACTAATAGCTATTCAAAATGGATATCTGAAGCCACTGATAGACTTGTATTATCTCATCAAAAATGCAATACGCTCAAAATGAAGTGCATCATGGAAATATTCATACTTCCTTTGAGTATCTGCAGAGAAATAAAGAAGATGAGCAGCCATTTCAACAGTCATGCTATAGTAAATTTCCATAAAAATGTCTGTTCGTTATGATCAGTCTTAAGGCTGTATGTTTATTGAAACACGTCGAGCAGATTGTTTCTTCTTTAATTATGCGCATATTGAGCACATTTGGCGAAGAAAGAAAGAACGAGCCAGTAAAAATGATAGTATTCACAGACAGCTCATTCTTCTTTTAAATAAGCCACATAATCCGCTCCTCTCATGTAGTGAATACTCGCAAATCTCATCTCCATCGTACCTGTCGTCCAAATGCATTTACGCACGACAGCTAAAAGCACAAACCAACAAACAAGTCTATCTCACGTCGGTTCCTGACAAAGTGCTTCCACCTTGCAAAGTGAGCCGTGTTCGGATGCAGCATGAGGTGTCTGGGGTCATTATTTATTCACTTAGATTAGCTGTGGTGAAAACAGCGGGCCAATTCCCCCACAAGCATTCATTTATTGATGCGCAAGCACACGGCTGCATTATTCTGCCCTCCCGCTGCACTTTATATGCCCCCCACTGTTAACCCTTTGATCCGTCTGTCTGACTGTCTGACTGTCTGTCTTCCTGTCTGTCTCAAGGACGCTGGTGCTGGAAATAGCTTCTGTGTGATAATCCAGCAATTGCTAAAAAAAAAAAAAAAGGGTTTTGCATAAATTGATGGATGTGTGACGTTTATTCTTCATAATATGGAAATTTGCGACAGTTAAAAAAGGTGTTGCCCTTGATGAAGTTCCTTTATATTCAATCAATATTTTGTCATGTCATGTTGAATAATTTCATGGTATTAAATTTTAATTTTAAAAAGAGTAGTGTAATATATATATATGTGTGTGTGTGTGTCATATCATCATGTGTCATATTGTGCATTTTGGACATTTTAATTGTGGGCTTTAAAATTGGGTTCTTGTCACTTGGCCCAAAAATAACCACCTAGCAACACCCTAGAAACTAACTACATGCCAACATTCTAAATATGATATCATATTACGTTTTATGTTAACTTTGGACCTTTTAATTGTGGACTTTAAAATTGGGTTCTTTTTACTTTGACCAGAAATTAACCACCTAACAACACACTAGAAACTACATAGCAACATTCTAGATATGATACATGTCATATTAAGTTTACGCAAACTTTGGACCTTTTAAGTTTTGGTTTTAAAATTGAGCTCATTTGACTTGGACCAGAAAGTAAACACCTAGTAACACCGTAGCAACCACATGGCAACATTCTAGATATGATACATATCATATTAAGTCTATGCAAACTTTAGACTTTATAATTGTTGGCTTTAAAATTGGGCTCATTTGACTTGGACCAGAAAGTAAGCACCTAGCAACCACATGACAACATTCTAGATATGATACATATCATATTAAGTTTATGCAAACTTTGGGCTTTTAATTGTTGGCTTTAAAATTGGGCTTATTTGACTTGGACCAGAAAGTAACCACCTAGCAACAGCCTAGCAACCACATAACATTCTGTAAACTATCATTGCAAGTTTTGTAGAGGCAACCAACAGTATTATGTTATTTTCCATTTACTTCTGTTACTTTTGCTCATTAGAGTCGATTAAATCCCTGCAGCTCTGCATGTTTGTAATCTATCCACCCTACCACCCAATCATATCTGTATTTAAAGTTCACACTTTGTGCTTAATCAAAGTCTTAACCTATCTGCCCTGCCTGAGCTTGACCCATTGATCTTATAGGCTGCTGAACATGGCACTCTGACAGTCGCCATTGCAACCAATGTTGAGATGTCCCCCCGAAGAGTGAAGACCTAGCGAGACCTTTTCCTCAAGTTTGTTTCCTCATCAACATCCTTCATTGAATAGCATTGTCAGGGATCCATAAAATGGTTTTATTGTCAACCTGTCTGAATTTATTGTGCTTTCTCGAATACTGTTTAGTAGGTCAGCATGTTGTGTTGCTTGCCTGTGTTGCACCAACTTGGCCTTTGTTGAAGGACGCCCTCCATTCGCCTCCGTTAACGTCTCTAATAAAAGGGCACAGGGTCAATACCTACATTTGCAGCACAGTTGTGTCTTCAGGCTTCACCGCAGGCTTCATAATGAATCATTTATGTGGGTGAAATGGCTGTCTGAACATCCGATCAATCCTTGGGCCTGTTTCTAATAGACAAGCCTTGAGCATTCCCTGCATTTTTTAGGAATCCAGACCTCAAAATTGGGAGATCATTATCATCAGACCAAAGAGTGCTTGATTTCTGTACTGGTAACTTATCTCTTGCTCTGTTTCTGCTGCAGTTATACAGGTCACGTGGTGGGGAATGGACTGCAAGCCCAGAAACACAACCCAGAGATAAAGATCAGAAGTGCGGATCCAATCCTGGTCAACGCGAAGGAAAAGCTAGAGCACTTCAACCAGGTAGGTCTCAAAACACCTGAGGTCAGAACATCCATCCTCCCACATTGAACCAAAACATAGGCTCTTAACCCTAACCCTAACCCTCTAACCTTAAGCTAAACAAAATCATTGTAGTACTGAAGCCAGGTGCATTTTGGTGCAGTTTTTGCAATACTTTTGTTGAGATATTAGGGGCAGCTTTGAGGAATTCATATGAGATGTAATCAACTTTGATTGTGTAGGGTGAACATGCATTGTGCGACTTCTGATAATTAGGAGGTTCTGAGACTTTGAACACATTACAAATCAATTGAATTGACATGAAGAGTTCCTTGAATTTCCAAAATGACTTAAATGTCCAAAATGTTTAGCTAAGGTTAAAAATGATCGGGAGCTTGTAATACACAATGCAAGCCACTGCCGTATGAGATTTAACAATTTCCACCTGATTTCCTTTGACGCGAAAAAAAAAAAAAAAAGTTGGGACAAGTCAATCAAATAAATTTAATTGGGATTAATCAATCAAACTACAAGCTAAAATCATGCATGTACGCCAGTGGTGTGCAGTGGTGTTCTGAAATGAGGAGATCAAGTTTTGTTTGTTTGTTTGTTTTTTAATAAAATGTAAATTCATGTCCCAGTCATATTTTCTTGGTTAAATAAACATTACTTACACTATCAGGAAAAAGACATTTTTATTTTATATTTTTACATTAACCGTGTAATCAATATTCTATTTATGAAAGCCAAGTATGATTCTCATCAAGCTTAGTTTTAAGCATTTTACATTTATTCCAAAATAATAACTCAAGCTGGCAACAATTTAAACAATATATTTTTACTTGTGAACTTATGTTCAGCTATTCTTTTTAATACTTAACTTTTAACTATTTTTGAATTTTTTGGATCATCAGTCATCAAAACTTGGTAAATATTTGTCACAGCCACTGAGATTTACTTTAAATTTCACGTGACTTTCCCCCATTCATTCTCAATTACCCCCCAGGAAACCCACCATATGCTTTAGGGGGTCTCTTAAAACTCAATGGACTCAGGGGAGGCGAGAGAGTCGCGGACTCCTGCTGTAACTTTACCTGCTGGTGTCGCTGTTGGACAATGTTTCTTTAGGAAATTAGTGACTTATACACTTTTTAATGTTATATTTTGTAATTTTGCTTGTCAATGAGGATGTCAAAACACAACTGATAAGTCAGTGCTGTCTGTTATGACTTAAGTTTACTAAGGTGTACCCTATATCCTGAAGTCAAAGACCATTAATGGTCTGTTTCATCTTTTAACCAAGATCTTACCAGTGTCATATTGAACAATCTGACAAACAATTAAAAGTACAGCTATAGCGCATGTGCGTTTCTTTTTATAAAACTTTCCCTGAATGTTTGCTTTGTGAACCAAAAAGAAGACATTAAGAACCACCAGAAGCGCTAGTTTCATGCTTGCCCACCAAACAAAAATAGTCCAACTCAACGCCAGCGCACATGTCAAGAGTGGTGAGACGGTGTCATTAGTCCAGGGTTTGCTCTGTGATCAATCTGCAGCAACATCAGACCAAGCATCCTCAGGGGGAGTGTTGAAGACCTCCTTGGCATGATGACAAAGTCTGTCACTACTGCATCTGTGTTTGGGAGGGTACAGAGGGCAGCTCAGTTGGCCCTCTGGAAGCCATTTTGTAATGTCTTTCATTGTTCCATTAAAACCAGACGTTTTGGTTCCACATTATGTCCAAACCCAACCCAGCCCTGGCCGCATTGCTTTGCTGTGAGGACAGGGCTGGGTTGGGTTTGGACATAATGTGGAACCAAAACGTCTGGTTTTAATGGAACAATGAAAGACATTACAAAATGGCTTCCAGAGGGCCAACTGAGCTGCCCTCTGTACCCTCCCAAATGCAGCTGCAGTAGCGACAGACTTTGTCATCATGCCAAGGAGGTCTTCAACACTCCCGCTGAGGATGCTTGGTCTGATCTTGCTGCAGTCTGATCACAGAGAAAACCCTGGACTAATGACACCGTCTCACCACTCTTGACATGTGCGCTGGCATTGAGTTGGACTATTTTTGTTTGGTGGGCAAGCTTGAAACTAGCGCTTCTGGCGGTTCTTAATGTCTTCTTTTTGGCTCACAAAGCAAACATTAATGGACAGTTTTATAAAAAGAAACACGCAAGCCATAGCTGTACTTTTTCTATCTGATTGCTATTTGTCAGATTGTACGATATGGACTTTGGTTAAAGATGAAACAGAGTATTAATGGTTTTTGACTTTAGGATATACAGTTCATCTTAGCAAACTTAAGTCACGACTGACAGCATTGACTTATCATTTGTGTTTTGACATCCTCACTGACAAGCAAAATTACCATGAAAACCCAAACAAGCGCTTGCTGTGTACACATTGGTTCCACGGTAGACGGTCGTTGTAGGAGCATTGTATGAAGTTGTACTGCAGAACTCTGGCCAAAAATTTCATACCCTGTCAGATCTTAAGATCTTACCTAAGATTCATTGTAAAGCTTGTCACTAAAGATAGGTGTACATGCATGATTTTAACTTGTAGTTCGATCGATTTGTCCCAATTAAATTGATTCAATTGACTTGTCCCAACTGATTTTTTTTCCGCTTCAAAGGAAATCAGGTGGAAATTGTTAAAGCTTGTACGCTTGCATTGTGTATTACGAGCTCCCACCATCTTTAACCTTACCTGAACATTTTGGACAATCAAGGAAATTTTCAAGTCAATTCAACTGATTTGTGTTCAAGGTCTCAGGACGTCCTGATTATCAGAAATCGCACAATGCATGTTCGCCCTACACGATCAAAGCTGGTTATGTCCAAAACAATCTCGTACAAATTCCTCAAAGCTGTCCCCAATATCTCAGCAAACTTATTGTGAAAACTGTACTAAATGCACCCGGCTTGAGTACTACAACGATTTTGTTGAGCTTAAGGTTAGTGGGTCAGGGTTAGGGTTAAAACCTATGTTTTGGGTCAAATGTGGGAGGATGGATGTTCTGATGGGTGTTTTTGGACCTACCTGGTTGAAGCGCTCTAGCTTTTCCTTAACGTTGACCAGGATTGGATGTGCACTTCTGACTTTTATCTCTGGGTTGTGTCTCTGGGCTTGCAGTCCATTCCCCACCACATGACCTGTATAACTGCGGTGGAAACAGATCAAGAGATAAGTTACCAGTACAGAAATCAAGCACTCTTTGGACTGATGATAATGATCTCCCAATTCTGAGTTCTGGAGTACTAAAAATGCAGGGAATGCTCAAGGCTCATCTATTAGAAACAGGCC